ATTTACAAATAAGGAATCCTACTTCGCGGAATTTCATTTATCACGGTAGGGTCTAGAACCGATTAACCGCGATAAATGAGGGTTCACTGTATTTGAAATTTCGACACTGAATAAGAATGACCAAAGAAGAATCCTGCATTTGAATTGTGATGCTGGGAAAGAATATTGAAGTACCACTGGCTGCTCAAAGGACTGTCTTGCAAGAAGCTTGCCCAGAGTGCTACTCAGAGGCAAGGATGATGAGACTTCATCTTATATACTGGAGACACGTTATCAGGAGAGATCAGTTCCTGTAGAAGGACATCATGTGTGGTAGAGAGGCGGCGAAGGAGAAGAAGGGCCTGAGGGAGGTGGAATGAGCTCGAGCCACTGTGGCTGGCACAGGACTCAGCAGTGTCTCATTGTGCTGTGTGCAACTTCACCCTGTGTCAGGACCAATCCAGTGGCACCTAAGGAGACCAACAACATGGACCTGATAAGCAGTGATGTCCTTCACTGAATCAGACTCATTACAAAGCCTGAGAGGACATTTTCATGCTAATGTACTAATGACACTAAAAGAAGCATTCTTTGATGGTGTAAGGGGAAGGGGGGAGGGGAAGTTGCTGGCTAGAGGGCAGAGAAGTGTAGGGAGTGGCCTCTGGTACACTAAGAAGGAAGTTGGCAAGATATGGCTGCAGGGGAAGACACTGGGAAGTTGACAAAAGAACAGATGTGGGAGGAAGAGGGGAGTGCACCCAGAATTACATATCAGGTGACCAGAGGCCATTTGTTTGTGTGCATTCTTTGCTGCAAATGTGTCCAGGAATGCGGCGGAGCATACAGTGGGCAAAGTTAGGAAAACTCACTAGACATAGTGTACCTTCTTGAAGGATGAGTCACCAGGTCTAGGGGATCTGGACCATCATCTTGGGGGCCATCAAGGTCAATTGTTTTAACAGAGGCAAAGACAGTGTGCTACATTCTAATTTTGAGTAGCAGCTGCTCCTGAGCAGCCATCTAGAGTGCAATGATTGGTCTCCCTTGTCCAGAGGAAAGACGAGTAACTAAAATCAAAAGAAAAATAATGAAAACAATTAGTCCGTGGACAAATGGGCCACAGAGCATCAGTCTCCACACACCTGAGACCGGAAGAACTATGTGGTGCCCAGCTACCAGTAGCATCGACTCTGAAAAGGGTCATATTAAAAAGTCTCGGTTAGAGTGGAAGAAAAATGTGGAACAAAACTTAAAATGATAAAAGTAACCAGGCTCACTGACAACACAGTCAGGATTGTGTTCCTGTCCTCTTCAGGTCTAGAATTGAACTCACTCCTTCACTAAAATAATCAGTCATTGAGAGCAAATGGACAGTGTTTACCCAAGGACTGACAGCTAGAAGAGGCCGCCGCATGGAAACAGGAAACTAAGGGAGGCAGTGGGATAAGCAATGCCATGGATGAGCTGAAAGAAAATGTTTGGATTGTTGAATGTCTCCTCTAAATCATCACCTAATTCACCAATTTTTTAAAGAATGAAAATGTAAACAGCTAGCCTTGAGAGCCTACTGAGGTTTATTTAAGTAAGAAGCCCTGGAGACTGTCTGGTAAAGGTTGTACTGCTAACTACAAGGTCAGCAGTTCAAACCCACCAGCTCCTCCTAGGAGGAAAGAGAAGGCTATCTGTCCTGTGAAGATAGATGGTGTAGGAAACCCTACGGGTCACTAGTAGTTGGAATCAACTCCAAAGAAGATTAGGGTTTTTTTCATCAAAAAATGGTCTGAATCACTGGAAGGAAGGGATGTGGACTCCTTTGTGAAAACTAAAGCCTTGGACCTGCTCCCCGCAAACATGCAGGTCCATCCACAGACCTTCAGGAATTCGAGATAGAGTGTTCGGCAGAAGCTCCAAGAAATCTTTGAGGTTTTGGTTTGTTTTTTAAATCACTTTATTGGGAGCTCTTATAACAGTCTATCCATCAATTGTATCAAGCATATTTGTACATATGTTGATAAGGTTAAATTACATGTGGAGTCTACATGCTGCTGCAGTGATTTACATGTGGTAAGTGGAAATCAAACCCCACGTATCTTGAAAGAAGACAGGAATCTCTTGACAGATCTCATGAATTGATGAGAATGTTGGATTGATGTTTTCCAAATATGGGAAAGTCTCATCTTAAACTTTTTAGATCATGCTTTGTGATGTATGAGGGGGCTTCAACCGGCTTGCAGAGAATGGAATTTTTCCACAGATTTTTTTTAAGCCCCCTCATAGAGTACATGAACATAATCAGGGGAAAAAATGGAAAGGAATATTCCAAAACACTAACAGAGATTGTGCCTGGTAAATGAGCCCTGGTGGTACAGTGATTAAGCACTCAGCTGCTAACAGGAAGGGCGGTGGGGTGGAGGTGTGGGCCAGCAGCCAGTCTGGGAGAAGGATGTGGCAGTCCATAACTGTAAGACTTGGAAATCTTATGGGCTAGCAGTACTCTGTCCTATATCGTCAGTTGGATTCGACTTAATGCCAATAGGCTTTATCGTCTTAATGCCAATAGGTTTTATGATTTTTAATTTCTTCATATCCTTTTTTCTGTAGTGAATGGTTATTGCTATCAAAACAATGATGGTAGCTGGAGCCAGAGGTGTAAGAAAATAAGTGACATTAAACTACATGTGTGCTTTCTGTTTAGGAGCCCTGGGGGTGTAGTGGTTACAAGCTGGACTGCTACTGCAAAGTCAGTAGTAGTTCAGAACCATCAGTCGTGGCTTTCTCCTCCCGTAGAGTTTCAGCGCACGTGTGCCTTCAATATGGAGCTACTGTGCACTGTCGCTCAAATTTACATTTCCAAGTTTTCAAACACACTTTTATAAAAGTTACTTGGTGAAAGTCTTCCATTTATATTTGAGGCCTATATTTCCTCTCATTAAGAAAGGAAAAGGACGAGAAGTAAAAGACATGTTCCTTGATAATGAATGAAGATCACTCTTTTTAAAGTCTTTAGTTCTCATAACACTATCAGGTACCATTTCTGAATGCCAGCAAGAGCGGTCCCAGCTGAAGAACAGAGAGCTGGCGATGCGGAGGCTCCGTGCGAAGCTGTACAGCATGCACCTGGACGAAGAGACCAGCAAAAGGTACCAGGCCAGGAAGATTCAGGTAAGCTGGGTTTTTACAAATGTTTTTACAGAATGCGTGGGTAGTATAGATACGTTTGCCCTGGTGGCATACTGGTTATGTGTTGGGCTGCTATTGCAAGGTCAGCAGTTGGAAGCCACCAGCCCCTCTGAAGAGCAAGATGGAGTGTCTCCTCCCATCAAGACTGTCTCAGACTCTCAGGGGCAGTTCTTCCCCGTCCTCATAGGGCAACTATGAGTTGGTGTCGACTCAATAGCAGTGAGTTTGGGGTTTTTTCGTTTTGTTTTTTTTTTTTAAATCATTTTATTGGGGGCTTGTACAACTCTTATCACAATCCATACATACTACAATTATTTTAATAAGTAGTTTCCCTAGAAGCTGTAGTTGTACTATAGTGATCTTATACTTTTGGCCTTTTTCTTTAATCGGGTATATGTTTTCTCAGACTTTTAAGCAGAGTGCATTTTTAAAACAAAAGATGCATTGATTCATTCTGAATCCTGAAAATTATGGATGCAATGAAATTGGCAAGCAAATTGAACTTGTTTTCTTCCGCTGGTATTTAATGTGATAACCACAAAGCCCCCTGAAGAATCCCTATGGATAAGCCATCACCTGGTGGTACAGGGGTTAAGCATTCAGCTGTGAACGGAAAGGTTGTTGGATGGAAACCACTAGTGGGAGAAAACTGCCAAACCTGCTCCGGTAAAGATGGGTGGGCAGTCTTAGACACAGTCTGGGGCTGTTCTTCTGTCCTGGGGGTCACCGTGCGTCATCCATGGGTTCTACTTTGTCACCACTGAGGACTGCAATTCACAGAGACTGAGTGTCTTCAGCTAACAAATAATGCATGGAGCAGTTTTCCTGAAGGCCTTGAACGGGCACCACCCCCGCCCGTGTTCTCTTCATAAGTATGGTGTCTTTTTTGCATGGTACCTTTAAATATTTTCTTTTGTTGTTAAGTCTTTGTCTTGGTGCAACAGTCCTGCACTAACTTCCCCTTGACTTTCAAGAGTAGGCTGCCTCCCCTCTCTGTAAACTGCTTTTCCAGTGCATAAACAGCCCTCATCAGGACAGCCAGCCCCGCCTAGAGGCCACTTAGGCATGAGAAGCAGCCACAGTTCCTCACAGCCACTGCTTCCTCGGGCTTGTCTGCTATCGTTGGGGGCTGTTTGAGTCTCATTCCTATATGGACACTTAGAGCTGAAGGGTGGTGTCGAGGAGTCCCACATCCCTCGCTTGGACTAGAAAGGTGTGACTGGCTATGTGGGGGCCCTGTGGAGTCAGGCGAGGGAAGTGCCAAGCTGCATGTGCAACCAGCACTGTAGGAGCCCCACAGTGTGCTGAGGCAGCATCCCCACCCGCCACAGGACCAGGTCATGCTCCCACTGCAGCAGCCCCTCGGTGCCCAGGCGCAAAGGAGCTCCACCGCTCAGGCTGGGCTGTGCACCAGCGCAGAGCAAAGGGACGGATGGAGTCTGCACTGCTTATTTTCCATTTACCAAGGTGTTAAATCAAACTCAATCCATGACTTATTAACCAGGTTTATACTTTTATTATATAAGTATGCTCAAAAGCCAATATTATTGTATTATAAATGATGGTAAATGAGCCTGGAATTCACTTATGGATCTATCAAGCATGTGGTGTATGCAGGCGTGTGATAAATCAGTACGTTTTACACAGTTTAGGAGAGTTCTACCCATTATGTGTACGCTATTTGCAAAAAAAAAAAGTACGTATACACACACACACACACATATACACAAAATATGAACTAT